ACCCATGCCAGCGAGCACAATGAGGCTGGAGGTGTTATATAAATAGCCTGGGGCTGCCCGTCAGCTCCTCCACCCCCTTGGCTTTGGGTCCAAGCCTTGCTTTTCCTCGAGCCTAGGCTGAAGCTGCTGGCAAGGTCTCCACCTGCCCTCTTCTAGCTGTGTGACCTTGGGCAGGTGACTCAACCTCCCTCGTCTCAGTCCTCCCCCACAACCACTGTGCAAAGGAATAAAAACACCTGCCTGCTTTGGGGAGGTTGGGGGTGACGTCAGCGCTAAGCATGTGGCTCTTGTCCTGTGTTTGCTACCGTTACTGACCATCACCATGACGGGGCGGGGGGAGCTGTGGTTCATGCCAGAGGGGACATGCAAGAGAGGACCCGAGAGGGACAGGGACAGCATTTCACCTCCACCCTTGGAAGGGACATCTCAGGTCTACCACCGCACCAGGTCGGGCTCTTCGCCGGTGGGGCGCCCGCGTGCTGTGTGATGCTGGCCAGCTCACTGGCCACTTCCCCACTGCAGAGGCATCTCACAGCTCTGGCCTCTTCAGAGTTAAACTGTTTTCCAAAGTGCAATCTTCACCACGGTTTGGGGGCAGGTTCCAGGAGACAGGTCAGGCTCTCAGGGTTATGGACAGAGGGTGAGATGCCAACGTGAGGCATCCAGCCCAGCCCAGCCCCAGCTCAGAAGCCTGGACACCCGAGCCAGGCCATGGGGGAGACAAACTCAGGCGACAGTGCTAACCCTCATCCTCAACTCTGCTGGAGGAGGTATGAGCATTCTCTGCAACCATCTCATGGTGGCTCCCTGATAAAAAATACTGAATGAACGAATGAATAGCTAGAAATGAAGCTGGGTATTGTCAAAGTGTGTGGGAAGCCGCCTATGATGGCGCCCATTTCCTGCTTCCGGGTTCTTCCCGGCCTGAACAAGCCCGCCAAATTGTCATATCTGCCCAGTTACCCGTGACGCTAGCCTATCAGCTTGTTAGGCGCGCTTCTCTGTGATTGGATACTGCTTCCCCTTATAAGAGGTTGTTCTTGCCCCCAACGGCGGAAGAGGAACCAACGTTGAGGGTGGCGGACCTTGTTAGGTCCGGTTCGCTGTACGTAATAAAGTTTGAGAGCTGATCCTGCTCGAGTTTGGTCTCCTGTCTCCCGCGGCTCCGGTCAAAAGTGGGGACTTCTGCTTCAATCAGGTCAGACTCTGAACCTGGCTCCACCAGCTGTGTGACGTTAGGCAAATCCTTCCGCTCCTCTGAACCCTGTTTTTCCATGCACTCGGTGAGGATGACAATTCTTATGCCATGAGATGTCTGCAAGGCTTACATGAGAAGACTGGTGTGAATGCCTGGCACACGACACACGTAGTCCCTCAGCTGGTCATGAGGTGGGGACAGGGAGCTTGGACTAACAGTGTTCACCACCCTCGGGGCAGCAGTGGATCACAGCCATCTGGTCTCCTGGAGGCCCGGCAAGGAGTGAGCTTACTGAGGGAGGTTCTGTCGCCTTCCGGCACCAGTCTGGGCAGTGTCCCTGCCTCTGGCCTTTGTCAAGCAGCTGGAGCATGAGCTGCACTCCCTTCACGGGAGACGCAGCTTGTGGAAACCGTACAGATCTGTGCTCCGGTGCATGGTTCTATTTTGGGCCGACACTGCTCTCTTTATTTATTTTCCCTGAGCCCTGGCACTTTGGAATCCAGCTTGGAAGGGTGTTTTGACAGACTTTGACATCTCTCTGGGCTCCTCTGGCTGGAAACAGGCTTTGGTGGAGGAGGGGATGGGCAGTGGGAGGAGGATCCCCAGTAGCAAAGGCCTTCCTCTTTGCCTAGAAGATGGACAATCTGACCCTCTGCCTCCCTGATAGCACCTCAGTTTCTCCACATTTGGGTGCAGACAGGAGTACAAATGGGGTTCAGGTGAGGGAACCATTTCAAAAAGGAGGAAGGGGACCAAACATACAAATCACTGAGCTTTCAATTAAAATAACGCTAATGTCATTATCTGCACCAGTAATAGTTTGACCAATGACCCCAGCTGCCATCACCAGACCACCATTTTTGGGGTGCTTATCGTATCATCATGACCAATAGCGGGCTGGGAATTTCCTTCAGAAAACCACTTCTGCTTCTGACATCTCGATTTGCTCATCTGCAGAGGCCACTTGTGCAGCTCACAGCTCACGGGGCTGTGAGAAGCCACCAGGCCATACTGCGATAATTAATGTTTTCTCCCCTAGCACAGACCCTAGCCAACAACCAACGAACGCCTCATGAGCTGTGTGCTTGGCAGAGCCTTAGGGACCAGGGGTTAATTTCTAAGCCCCTTCCCTGGTGGGATCTCCAAGGCTTCACTTTACCAGCCCTTCTCTGGGGAAACTGAGTCTCTCTCTTAGGAGGATCTTATCTCAGACCGTCTTACCTGCCTTTGGGTGACTAGGTGTGGGGGTGGGGACCGGGGATACCAGAAAGCCGTCTAAACTGCCAGAGAGAAGGGCTTAGATCACGGTCCCAAGGACCTTCAGCTCAGAGAGCTGACTTTAGCTTCCGCTCTCCACGCATTCCTTAGTCACTACCAAGCATCTACCAGAAGAATCGACGGTTCACACAGAAGATATTGTCTGCCTCCATGGAGACTGCACTTCAGCAGTGTCACCCTAGGAAAATTATTTGCTCTTTATGGTCCTATTAAGGAAATCATCTGAATATCCCTAGCGTAGAGAACAGGATGATTTCAGCAGTGATGGGTGCTCTTAAGGAAGCAGTGGGTTCTATGACATCTGGAGTTATGCGTGTGGTCTTCAATCCTACCCAAATCAAGAGGCTCACTACAGAGTCAATGTTCCAGATTACTGGGGCCCAAAAGGGACCCCACCCCACAGGTCAACTCAGCCAGGCCTGTCCTTCACACATGGGTGGGCTGGAGCTCAGGGAAGGGAAGTAGTCCGCCCAAGGCTGCACTGGAAACCTGAGGTCCTTTCCCCACCAGGTCTGTGCCTCTTTCTACCCATTTTTTGGAATTCGTGGCAACAGCAGGAGAGTGTCAAGGGGCAAGCCATGGCATGGGCACAAGATTCTTTAAAGGCCACATCTCCAGGGGTTGGGGCTTGCAGTGATCCCCTGGAGAGACTGTGGGGGCTCTGGGGCATCCAGTCCTAGAAGAGTCCCTGGGAAAGAAGGCCAGAGCTACTGAGGTCAGGGACTGGGAAAGGTCAGGGTGCCAGAGACAGGAATAAAGGTGTCAAGTCTGCAGGCAGAGAGGCAAGTGGGGGAGAACGGAGTCAGCTGCCCTGGGGCCAGCTGTGCCAGCACCGGGGTGAGGACGGTCAGATGAAGGCTCAGGAAACTGGGAACAGAAGTGCAGGCAGCTGGGGAACCACCTGGAAAGACCCCAAATGGGGGGGAGGGAGACAAAGAGGGGAGGAAGAAGAGCAGAGGGACAGTGCAAGCAGAGGATGCAGCCGCGGTGGCAGACACAGGGGCAGGCAGCCGAGCAAAATGGGCTCTGAGCTTCGCATCAGAAGTAGACGAGGCGCCTGTCCGCTGCGCTGGGCGCCTGCCCAGAGCTGCTTGGAGCCACAACCTCCTCCCTCCTTTGGGCAGCTGCCTTGAAGGAGCTGTTGTTTGGGCGTCTGTCCCGCTGCATGCCCCTTAGGAGGAGGACTACGTGTGTGTGCGTGTGTGTGTGTGTGTGTGTGTGTGTGTGTGTGCGCGCGCGTGCGCGCCCGCGCATGCCCCCCCCCCCCCCCCCCGCGCTCCAGCGCAGCATGAGTGTTCTCTGTGAGTCATAGGGATCAGAGGGAGCCCTGCAGAATGGTCTCTGGAGTCTGAAGCTTCCTCATTGCCCAAAGAGAGCAGCGTCATGAGGATCTGGTGTGAGGTGCTTCCCGGGTCCACACACTGGACAGATCCGCCGGAGTCCACGTGCAGGAGAACCTGGCATCTGCGTCTCCGGAGGCTGTGGGTGGCTGTGTATTTTGCGCGAGTGGACTATGATTGCATGCATGGAATGTTTGCAACTGGTTTGTAGATGGGGTGTGCGTGTGTGTGTGTGCGCGCGCGCGTGGATGGATGTGAGTACGCGTGCACTGTGGGCCTGTGGGCACGCGGGTTGGCTGGCGCCAGCATGGGCTACTGTGCACTGAGGCGGCCCCCTACGCTGTCCGCGGTGCTGACCCGGGGCGCACGCCCACAGGGAACCGGGTGGAGCCACAGAAGGGATCGCGGGAAACTGGCGCCGGCCGAGGAGTAGAGGGCGGCGGTGGAGAGGAAGCCGGCCAAAGAGACGCCTTCCCAGCTGGCTGCGGGCCTCCCCGGGGGAGTTGGGAAAAGTTCTCCCAGAGGCAGCGTTAGCTCTCGGGACAGAGATGCTCTCGCTGGGAATCTTCTCTTAACCCTGGTCTCCCCCGCCGCCCACCGCACCTGCATCCCACTAGCGTTCTCCGCAGAGCCCGAGGACCCTCCTGGGCTCAGCTTCCATCGCCTGCCCGGGTCTCAGAGCTCCCGTGCGCCCAACCGACTGTGCTAGCAGCCAAGTCCCTTGGGCCACAGGACTCTGGACAGATCCCGCAGAGAAAGGGGTGGGTGGAGAAGAGGTCATTAATCTTTCCCGTCTCCTCCCTCTGCTCAAGCCCAGCCCACAGCCCTCGGGGGACGGATTCAGAAGGACGCTCAACTTTTATGGACCCACACATTTACCCGCCCGATCAGCAAGGGGCCGGGGTCGCGAGCCTGGCGGTTTCGAGGCATCTAAGGTCCCCCCCCCCCCGCTCCCAGGCGCACAGAGGCTGCGCTGTCCCCACCGGGAGTTGGTTCAAGCTGGGGCCCACCCCGGGGGACCAATCTCCGGGCTCGGCGCTCCGCCACGCTCCCAAGGGTTGGCGAAGGAGCCCGGGAACTTCACCCGGGCCTCTCAGGCCCGCGCGCGGGGACCCGTTCCCTGCTCCTCCGCGCGCGCTGCACCCCCGGCCCGAGACCCGATGGCGCCCCGCGGCCGGACTCACCTCGGCCGGCCGAGCCGCACTGAGCCGCGAGCGCGAGGGACCCAGGGCCGCGGCCACCTCGCCGCGCACTCGTGTGCCCTCCGCAGACTTGTCGCAGGAGCGATATCCTCGGAGCCTCGGAGGCCGGCGAGCCCCGCTCCGCTCCGGCGCGCGCACCGCGGACAGCTCCCTGCGGATCCCGGTCCTCGGCTCGCAGCCCGGCGCTCCGCGACTCCGCCGCCTTTTATTCGCCGCCCGCCTTTGTTTGGGTCCCGGCTCTTACCATGGGGTGCGGGGGGGATCCCGGACAGGCTCGGAAGCAGCGCCGCCCCGCAGGCACAGGCGCCTCGGGTCTCCGCACCCCCGGATCTCGCGTCACCGGCCGGCGAGGACCTGCGCTCCTCAGAGCGCTGTAGCCCCCGGAGCCCCACGCCGGGCCCCGCTCCAGGTGCTGCTTCCCCCGTACGAACCGCGCAGTGGTACAGTCCAGCTACCGGAGCCCGCGGGAGGGGCTGAGCGCGGCGCAGCGACCCCTGGGGGTCAGTCCCCACCTCTGCAAACTGTCCTGGCCATGCCCCCTACCCCGCCCCCAGGCGCCTGCGCTCCCGCTTCCCTGCTCCGCTTTGCACCCCTCAGCCCATCTGCCCGGCGTTGGCAGGTCACCAGCCTTCTGGACTCGAGGGCATCCCCGAGTGCCCTCCTGAGGGAGCTGCCAAGCCCAGGCTCTTGGCGCCGTCTCTTCCTCCCTCCTTCTCCATTCACCTCTCTGGCTTCCCTGGAAGCCCTGCCAGCCACTGGGGCCGGGCGTCACTCCAGCAGCTGCCCACGGTCTGCCCGACACCCCTGGCTGGAGGACCCGAAGGAGAAGTGTCCTGGGAGCCAAGGCCCGTGATGTGGCCCATTCCTCCCCATCAGGGCTCGGGAAGCATTGGCACTGGCATCACCCAGGGCGAGCCAAAGGGACCCACCTCAGAAGGCACTGGCTGTCAGCTCCTGGCTGCAGGAAGGAGAGGCGTTAGTGCTGGAGAGGCCACTGCTGGGTGAGGGGAGCCAGGAAATGATCCCGTAGCATCCGAGCCTGGGCGGATGGGGAGACAGAGATGGGCGAGACCTAATCTCTGTGTAAGGGAAGCTTCCAGCTCACAGAGAGAGAGGAGACAGGACAGTGGTGAAACACGGCACAAAGGTCCATCCTCACCCACAGGGGCTCAGCCCATGCTAGCCCCTCTTCCAACCCCCAGCCCTTATTTTTAAAAGAGAAACTGAGGTGGGGTTGCCACAGAGTGCCTGTGAGCTTTGGCTCTGCTGCTCACCTGCAGCCCGGGCTCTGTCCCTTGGTGCATGGTCCCTGGAGCTGTTCACCGGCTGGCTGGCAGGCAGACACATTGGTATTTATGACCCAGGGTGCCTCGAGAGCTCATCTATGCAGAAGCAAATGGCCCGAGCACGTGTCCCTGCCCTGGCACTCACTTCCATGTGCTCCAACTGTCAGGGGAGCCATCGCCAGCCTGGCCAAGTCTATCAGCAGACTTCCCCTGGGCTTCATCCAGCTTTGAAGACACTGGGGCTGGGGCAGTGCTTGGCATGAAGGGTGCCATTCTGAGCTACAAAAGAAGGAGGGAGAGGAAGAGAGAGAGGCCAAGGGTGGAGGGTATAGTGTTGCTACCCCAAAGCAGAGCACAGATATGACACTGGAATCCAGAAGATCCCATACCCCAGAGGAAGGCAGAGAAAGAAGGGCCATGAGGGAGGGTGGGGGGAGGGGAACAAGGGGGAGATTTATTAAAAGAGCAATGGGGAGACACAAAGTGTTCCCAAGCCCAGCTGAGAGCAAAGGGTTGGCTTCGCTGGGTGAATGGCTTATTCATTTCAGTGGGCTCTCAGGCTGCTTCCGGGACCTCCTGAGAGTTCCCCAAGGCACTCACGCTGTTCCTTGGACACCTCGTTCATGGCCTTGTGGTGCTGTGCCAACATCAGCCCGTGCCTGGGGATCCAGCCCCACTCCCATGGGGGAGTCTTTTAGTGGACTTGATCAGGGCCCTGATCCCCTTCCAGGGGGGCCTGACCTGCTGCCAGCTGCCCAGGCTGTGGCTACCTTGGCACACTCCAATGAGAGTCTTCCCTGGCTCCTGGGGAGCCCTAAATGACCAGAGGGGAGCGGCTTGCTCTGCCTCTGGTAAGGGGCCTTCTTTGAAGGGAGGGTGCAGAGACTCATTGAGTAGGTGTGGGGTTGGAGCTTGGTATCCAAGAATTTAAGAAGGATTTTCCCAGGCTATCAACAGGGTTTTAAAAATGCAAATGGCAGGCGTGACCGTGACTATCATCCCAGCACTTGGGAGGCCGAGGCAGGAAAGTTATTGCAAGTTGAGACCAGTCTGATCTACAAAGTGAGCTTGAGACCAGCCTGAAATGCTTAGTGAGACCTTGTCTCAAAAAAATAAAAAATGCAAATGGAACCAGGCCTTTGAAATAGCCCGCCCCCTCTCGTAAAGGGGAGCTGGCTGTGGCAGCCACGTGGGTGTAGAAAACCACGAGAATCCTCCTGGGGTTCCCCCCACCCCACTGCCAGCTCAGCCTACAAAACCTCATTCCAGAGCCCGGGAATGCTGGACTCAGCCAGGCACTTTGAGCCCTGTCACCTCCAGGTGACCATCGGAACTGACTCCAGCGGCCAGCTGAATGCCTCACGGACGGCACTTCTTCCCGGGTCTGATTCACGTGCCTCATGGCTCCAGGAAGTGACTTCCCTTGCCCTCTGCCTTCACAACTAATTGACAGCCCTTCTCCTGTGCCTCCATTTCTCCCTTTGTCTCCTCCCCAGCTATGTGAGAGCAGGGCTTCCAAGCTCAGCCCCTGGGTCTCTGCTTCACCTCGCCAAGCCCCAGTTGTCTCATCTGTGAAATGGGCACAGGAAAAGTACCTGCCTCATAGTCGTGGTAATAAGGATCTCATTAAATGAGACCAGCTCTGTGTAAAACAGCAGGACTTAGCCCAATGCCTGGTGCACGCTAAGTTTTGCGTGAATATTAGCGTTTTCTGTGTATCGTTAGCACCTGCTGTGCAGGAGCTGAGGACAGTACTCCCCTTTGCCTCCCGTGGGGGGTCGTGTGTGAATCAATCCCTCTCCCCAACCAGATGGCTAAGCACTGAGGTTGAGCTTATGGGAAGGGTTGGGAGTATTTATCTTTAAAAATACGGCAGATGAAGACATGGTCCCAGCGCTGGCGAATAGAATGACCATTTTTCTAAGTGGTTCCCTCCTCCATCTGCTCAAATACCAGCTCTGAAGGTTTTAATCTCCATCTCCAGTCTCACCTTCTCTGGGGAGCCAGTGGGTAGAGCCAGGCGAGCAGGGGTGAGTGGCAAAGATTTCAGGAGTGAGGAAACCAGAGCTGACTTTTATGTATGTCTTTTATCAACTGTATGACCTAGGCCAGGTCCTTTTGTTTCTTTGGGACTCAGTTTCCACATCTGCAGAACGGGAGTAATAAAGATCACTGGCTCAAATACACTTAGAATCCTCTTTTCTGCAGAGGTGGGGTGCATTCGTAGTACCAGTTTGATCAGAAGTTCTCTGCATAATTATAATTATACAGACTTAGAAAGACAGATGGCAGAATGCTCAGTCATGTGCCAGTGGTTTCTAGGGTTGCTTGTACTTCCTGTGACACAATAGATACAAAAGCAGGACATGTGTCCAAGTTCATGATAAGTGGGTTTCTGAGTTCAGGTCACATAGCAAGCTATAAAAGAGCTTGGCTGGGATGCCAGGCCTCCCGAGCTCCAGAAGCTTTAAACCCCGTCATTTCCTTCCCTGCCCCTCTTGTCTTCCTGAAGCTCTGTGCAGTGAGCTCACGGGGTGGGGGGAGAGGATACAGGGGCAAATAATTCCAAAGGGAGAGAAATTTGAGGAAGAGCGACAGCTAGGCTGGGCTAGGGGCGCTGTAGCCGGGCCCCGGGGGAGGCTCGACAGATGGGCAGCCCTCCCCTCTCACCTCCTCCGGCATTCTGCATGCAGCCTGGGCCCAGCTCTCCTTTCCCAGCCTCGCCCGCCTCCTCCAAGGAAGCGGCAGCCTGCGCCAGGGTGAACGGAATCCAAGTTATTAATCGCCTGCAACAATTAGCCCCAGCGCCCGGGCCTGCAGACGTCCAGGCTCTAAAAGGGGAAGCCAATTACAGCTTAATGTGCACACTCCTCTCCCGAGGAGGTGGCCCTCTGGCCTCCATCTGTGTATCCAGCGGCCTTTGCTCTCACCCCAATATCTGCAGAAGACCAAATATCGCTGAGATCATCAGGAGTAAAAGTCAACGCTGGCTCACATTCTCTGTTGTAAGGGTCAAGGCACTAGCCCAGAGGAGCAAGGCCCCGCCAAAGATGTGGACAAGGTGACATTAACCGAGGACCGTCCCTCTGCGTGGGAGAGATCAGACTCCAGGTTGAGAGTATGGGGGTTTCTTGAGGACTGTCATTACAGAGGAGGTCAGAAATGCCCCTGACAGTTAGAGTTTAATCCCAACTCAGTCACATACTAACTTTATGGTTTGGAGAAAAGCATTTCCCATCGCTGGGCTTATTTCCTTACCTGTCACCTGGGGACGGAGGCCACACCTCTCCATGGGGGACACAAACGGCGTGGTGAGTGGTGCAGAGTGACCGTGCTTGTGTCCACCCAGAAAGAGACCCGCAGGGAGATTCCACGAGCCCACAGAAGCGTGGGGTGGAGGAGGAGGAGACACACGAGCGGCCGGACAGCTGGCTGCCTACCTGAGATTCGCTCTCCCGTCCTCGGGTCTTGATACCTTTCTGTCCCCGATCCGTTTCTCCACTTGTCCTCCCGTCAAGTGAGGATGTAAGAATAGATTGGCTCCCAGACTGGGATCTCCCAGGAGAGTGAGGACAGTGGGCTGTGTAAGGAGCCCGGGGGGTTACGGGATCCCAGGGTTTCACGGAGTCAGATGGCAGAGGTGGTGGCAAACTGACCAAAAGGACATGAGACCAGGTACATAAATAGTTAAGCCAACTTCATGACTCTTGGTTCTAAAGAAATCACATTCCCTTTGTCAAGATAGAAAACAAAAGTCTTGTCATTCAGAAGTCCTGGGAGACCCTGGAGATGAGACCCCAGTGTGGGCCTCGCTTTTGGGCAGGACGATGGCCAGTGGCCAGTGCCCAGTCCAGTTAGCAGAGAGTAGAGATGAGAGTCAGGCGGACTCTTGAGCTGAAAGCTTGGG